CAAACGGAGCGGCAGGCTCGGGTCGGGCCAGAGGCAAGCCAGTCCTCCGTCGACTTCGTCGTCGTCGTCGTCTTCTTCTTCTTTGGAAAGGATACAATGAAAAACCAAGCAGGATGGGGCGGGGGGAGAGGAGGGGGCTGTTAAAAAAATAAATAACAACAGCAGCAATAGCAGTGATCCCCGGTTGCTTGAAAAGTTCCCAGTTGCCTCTTGGTTGGATTTGGGAGTGAAGCTTGTCGGAGCTCCGTCCAATTTGTTGGAGACGAAAGCCAACCCATTTGGGGTAATTCAGGGGGAGGAGCCCGCGCGCCCGGGAGCTGCCACCGGTGCCCCCCCCTTCCCTTACACAGACAACAAAGAGCTGTCAAACTCCTCTCAGCCCCCGCGGTGATGGGCAAGCAGTGACAAATATGCCAGGGAGGGGGGGGAGATCGAGACACCCCCCCTTCCGCCCTCCAGGAAGAGGGAGAGAACCTCGCCGCTGCCCGGAGGGGAGCGGCCTGCGGGCCCCGGCTGGATTCCTGCCCTCCGCCCCCCTCCCCTTCCCTAAATCCCTGCCCGGCCTTCCCTCCTCAAGTTCATCGCTTTTAACAATGGGGAGGGGAGGGGAGAAAACCAGAGGGACTGGTTTGAATGAAATTTGGCGGCCAGGGAAGCTGACGATCAGACCGGAGGGACTTTTGTCAAAGTTCAGGGCAGGATCCAGTCACTTAAGAAGGCTTAAATCCCCGGAGGTCAGTGGCCCAGTGGCCTTTGCAGTCCTTCAGCACGGGTTACTTGCAGGGGGTTTGGCGGGACCCGGCGGAGAGGGTTCTCTTTGATAGCGACCCGATCTTAAGGGTAAGTTTGCCCGATCTTAGGCTAAATGTGGCAAAACGGCTCCCCTCGGAAGTAATCCGCTCATTTTCAGTGTCACTTGCTTTCATGTAAAAAGCACAAGGTTGACGGCTAACGAATGGAAAAGTTGCGATGGAGACAATGTCAAATTATCTCGGAAAACGCTGCGTGGCGAGTGCTATGGAAATCAGTTTGCTCAGACAAACCCACGAGGTACTTTCACCCCTTTAGGCGGAGGGGATCTCTTCGTTTCCCCTCACGCAGAGTTTGCCGCGGCTGAGAAAGTCTCGAAAGAATCTTTCTTTCCCGGATCTTACAGTCAAGGACTCCTGTGTGGAATTAGTTCAGTGCCAGAGTTTTTAAGATTAATAGGGCAGAAAATATTCATTCCTTTTGTTAACAGCGAGGGAGGGAGGGAAAGGGGAAGGAAGGAAGGAAGGAAGGAAGGAAGGAAGGAAGGAAGGAAGGAAGGAAGGAAGGAAGGAAGGAAGGAAATTTAATTTCAGCTGTCGAACTTGTTTGGAAGCTTGAGGTTTTTGCCAGAGATTGAATTCATCGTGGACCTCATTATTTGTCTCTTTACAAAGCAGGTCTCACGTGATCCAGAGGATCTCTTTCATTGGATGAAAGCGGCTGAGTAGCGAGCTTTCGAGTTTCACAGCGCTTTTGTGTCCAGGCAAGGACGGA